ACTTGGTTTCAGCTCATATTTATGTCCTCCAAATTTTGATGCGCACAAGTAGACACAAACTTATATAGAGTTGTACAAATAAACGCATGTATCCTATGTGACATCCTACGTGGTGTTCTATATGTATTATGTCACATAGGACTCGTGTGTTTGCTTGTTCTATTTTATACAAGTTAAAGTGTCTACTTGTGCACACCTAAAATTGGTGGGCATAAATGTGAAATGAAGTCGAGTCAATTATGTATATTATGTCCTTTTTTTTCTATTAGAATTGTAAATACACAAGAGATCTAATTTTCTCGAGATGATTTGGTATTTTTGTATTCTTTTATAAGTTTGTTTTTAGTTTTATGCACTTTTTATAAAATATTCTTCATTTTTTCACATATTTTTTTAAAAAAAAATATCATTTTTTTCCTATTTAATTTGTAAATAATCATAATAGATCATTTCCACAATTTTCTTTATAGTCATTTTGTTAATTTTTAAAAAAAAAAAAATTGGACCCTACTAACTTTAGTGTAGCCTAGACTTTTTGAATTTTGAAGTCCCTACTACATATGCAAAGTTTGATTTTTGTTTGTTTGAGGAAAATAAAAGCTACGCGGTTTTGATTATTTCTTTTACATATACGTTGACATATTCCATTGTCAGAGTGAACTAATAATATCGTTAATCAATTTCATAATTAATAAAAAGTCATATATATATATATATAAATAAATAAAGAGAACCTTAGACCCGCCTACGTGGCGCCATCAGAATTCAGGATTCCCTTTTAATTTATTTATTTCCAAAATTAGCCTTCCCTTTTCATGAAAAGTTGTAACTTTTATGAAAAGTTGCGATTTTTTTGAAGAATTGCGACTCTTATGAAGAGTTGCGACTTTTATAAAAAATTGTGATTTTTATGAAAGGTTGTGACCTTTCTGATAAGGCACAATAAATATTTGTTCACACTACCATTTGTTGTTTATAAATAGAGAGATTTCTTCTCATTTCAAAACAACGAAAATTCCGAACTACTTCTTCTTCTACATCTTTTGCACAATTAAATATTTGTGTACTTTGCTCTTGTTGAGTGACTCACTTCACCATTGTTTTTTGTATTAATACACTGGTGAATAAAATTGTCCTATCCTGAGAGGATCTATTCCTTTAAACCTCGGATACTAGAGGGGAATAATTTTCTTAAGGGTACACTATGCATTTAGTAGGCTCGATTTTTTCCTTTCTGTTTCATTCTATTGTTACAGATCCTGATATTTTTATTTTAAAGTCATTAATTTATGCTTAGTTTATTAATTATTATTTTTAAGTATATCTTTTAAACTTTGTTGTTTATGTTTCTGCAAAATTATTGTTATAAGTATTTGTTAGTACAGATTAAATAACACACGTTAATTAAGTATTTATGCAAGTTTTCTCTACTAAAATTGTTGAAAGTAGAGTAAAAGAACTCCTTAAAGATCTGTACTACCATATCTTGAAAATAAAATTCAAATTTGTTTATGTCATTGTAAACACATAAAGATCTTAAAATCTTTATCGCACCTTGATGTGCGAAGTGAACCAGGAAAATAAGACAAAAATTAATAAACTTTTGACATAAGTTCAAGGATGTGCCAGATGACCTCTAGAGGATTTTGACTAGACTGCAACCTCTTTTAATCTCAAAGAAATAGATATCTACACAATAAATTAATTGTTCATATTCAATATGAAGTATGGACAGATTTCTCAAGTTTACTGCAAGTTGTAAATATTTTTTTTGAAGTAATAGATGTGTTTTCGACACTGTGATCGAAATAGAAAATGTAGTTTCAAATTGAACTTCATCACTCTAGAATGTTGATTTTAAAAAAACACTCAAACAAACTGAATAGTTTTGTGTAATATTTTTCTCTTTCAAATATATATAATAAGTTGAATTGTTGTCCGTTATGATACATTTTCCCTTTAATTTTCATTTTAATAATTACTTATGATACATTTTAATGAGAACTTTAAAATGATATATGTAAAGCAAACGGTAGTGCTGAACTTTTACACGTTAGAATTAGAATATTTGTTCATTTTTTTCAGCCTTTTACAATTTAATTATCTCTTCACCAACGATTATTTATTTATTAGAATAATTAATATTATCGGTTGATACATTTGATTCTTCAAAAATATCAAATAATAACACCTGGAAGCAAAATGATAAATTATAAAATTAAATTAAAGATAATTGATTGAAGGATAAATGATAAGATGTTATATTTATTATTTTTCTTTGTAGTGTTTTAGTTTAAATGACTAATAAGTTTTAAGTATTATTTTCTAAATTCCATAACACTAAATTTCTATGAAATTTGCAAGAAAATATATAAAAGTCTCTTTTAGTGGTAACATTAGTGGCCGCTAATACCTATAAAAATCGCCATAAAAAAATGTTTTAGTGGCAACATTAGTCGCCGCTAATACCTATAAAAGTCGCCACTAAAAGAGTGGTTTAGTGGCAACATTTGTCGCTGCTAATACATATAAAAGTCGCCACTAAAAGAGTCTTTTAGTGGCAACATTAGTCGCCGCTAATACATATAAGAGTTGCCACTAAAAGACTCTTTTAGTGGCAACATTTGCCGCCGCTAATACCTATAATTGTCGCCACTAAAATCTCTTTTAGTGGCAACATTAGTTGCCGCTAATACTTATAATAGTCGCCACTAAAAGATTCTTTTAGTGGCAACATTTGTCGCCGCTAACGCCTATAATAGTCGCCACCAAAAATCTCTTTTAGTGGCAACATTAATCGCTGCTAATACCAATAATAGTCGCCACCAAAAGACACTTTTAGTGGCAACTCTTGTCCCCGCTAATAACTATAATTGTTGCCACGAAAAGTTTCTTTTAGTGTCAATATTAGTCGCCACTAAAAGATTCATTTAGTGGCAACATTTGTCGCCGCTAATACATATAATAGTAGCCACCAAAAGTCTCTTTTAATGGCAACAGTAGTTGCCGCTAATACCTATAATAGTCGCCACTAAAAGACTCTTTTAGTGGCAACATTAGTCGCCGCTAATACTTATAATTGTCGCCACCAAAAGACTCTTTTAGTGGCAACTTTTGTCGCCGCTAATAACTATAATAGTTGCCACGGAAAGTTCCTTTTAGTGGCAATATTAGTCGCCAGTAAAAGTCTCTTTTAGTGGCAACATTTGTTGCCGCTAATATCTATAATAGTCACCACCAAAAGTATCTTGTAGTGGCAACATTAGTCGCCGCTAATACCTATAGAAGTCACCACTAAAAGAATGTTGCCATTAATATCTATAATAGTCGCCACTAAAAGAATATTTTGAGTTGCATGTATTCAGGATCATCGACAGGAGCTTCGTTGATACCACATAGAGTTCGAGTTAGCTATGGTGAGCCTCCTTGCTTTCGGAGGATTCCATTTACTTTCAGTTGTTAGGAGGTCGTGGGTCTTGTGTCCCGACTTCCATCTTTATCATTTTGAGGCTTCATAGATAGACAGTAGAGTTTCAGAAGTCTGTTCATTTATTTTATTAAATGTTTTAAAGAATTAAGTTGCCTATTTTATGGCGAGTTGAATATATTATATTATTCAGAGTTTTCTTTTGAGTTAAAGCTTTATATTTGAGTTTAATGAATTTTATTCTTTTTTTAAACTTTTGTATGCTTAAGTTAGTCTTCCGCTTGTAGTCAGCCAGGATGAGGGTTCGCTTGGGGACCAACAATGGTTCTCGAGTGCCGGCCACGTCCAGGGTGTAGGCTCGGGTCGTGACACATACATTCCCTAATCATGATGAAATTGCAAGTGGTTGAGTATATACTCACTCTGTCTTATATTAATTGATCAAGTATTCACGAGTTCGCTTGAGGACCAGTAATGGTTCTTGAGTGCCGATCACGTCGAGGGTGTAGGCTTGGGTCGTGACAGTCAAATCATTTAATTTCTGTTGAAATGTTCTTAAAACCTATAAAAAAATTACTTTTTTTCTTATAACAGTCGATTATTGGAAAGGTTATTCAAAAGTTTAGAAATATTATTTTTGCCCGCACAAAGCACGGGTAAATTACCTAGTTTGTTAATAAAAAGATTTGTTTGAGAAGCACAAAAAGTTTTAGGGGTTTTGCCTTCCATCAAGGTTTGTCTTAACAATGTGACAAAGTTTATTGATAAGTGAAGAAATCTCAATCACACCACTCGTTAGTGGTTGAGTCACCTTGTTTAAGCGATGATATCAAAGGGGCGTGACGCCCCTTCACTGAAAATTACATTATGTATAGTAGGATTTAAAAAAGAAATATGTATATATAATATATATAATAATAGACAGAATTTATAGATAAACATTTTAACGTGACCTCAATTTTCATTTTGACCATCTAAGCACCTTAACTTGATGTGTTTGGCTTTTTCGTGTGTTTTATAATTAATATTTTGACTCAATAAAAATCATGGAGTTCTACCCTAAATTTTGGAGTTGTCTAAATATCGAGTAGCATAACTGTACAAGATAATTCAATAATTAATATTCCCGCATCCCATTTTATGTGAAGGTGTCACTATTCAAAAAGTCGAACATTTTTTTTATAGTTATAATTTTTTTCATTTACTTAAAAAATAAATCATTAACTAAGATATGTATTACTTTTCATATATTTTATTTTAGAAATTTTAAAAATTTATATTTAAAATTTGCTTTTGTCATCCATGAATAATCAACTATTTCCGCTATACCAACTGCCCTTTCAAACCACAAATTGTGCCAACTAACAAAGTACTACTAACTAACAACAAAAAGAGAAAATTTTGGAAGAAAAAAAGTTTCTGACAAAAAAAAAAATTAAAATCACAAATTAATGAAAGAAAAAGAAGAAAAAGGAAATTTTGTAAAGAAATTTGAAGATTTGTAATGTCAATGCACTAAAAATCAAAATCTCCTCATTAGGTGCGTTTTTTTTTTTTTTTTAATTTATTAGAAATGTGTATTCCTGTTTTAAGTTTTTTTTTTTTTTTTTGTTTATTGTTGTTAATGGAATTTTTTTGCAGAGAAAGAGCCATTAGTGGATGATCATTCAAATTTTTAAGGGGCAAAGTCCCATCTTGAAGTGAGTTTCTTTCTTTCTTTCTCTCAATAGACTAAAATGGTGTTTTGATTGAACCATAAGATCCGTATTGTGATTTCAGAATCATTGCAAAAAGAATCGTCACATTTCGAGTTCGTATGAGAGAAATGTGATCTTTTTAGTGTGTATTGTCATATAACAGAAGCCGCAAGTTTAGGTAGAAAGAACAACTAGTGTCAGAGATGTTGAACTTTACATGAAGGGAATGAGTGCCTTGATTGAATGGAATTCGGAATCCAAGTAGATTAGATTAAAGCAAGTATGAGTTCAAATGAATGCCTTAATGGAATAGAATCCGAGATTTAAGTAGATTAAGTTAAGGCAAGTATGAGTACAACCTTTTTCTCGTTGAGTTAGGATCAATAGCCGTTCGACCTGAGGAAAGTGTGGTCAGATTCAGAATCCCTAATGTCTTGCCTTCTAATGCACCAACTTATGGCATCACTACCTAGTGGGATGGTTGAGATCTTTCTAACCCTTTACCAGATGTCTCGGATTTGAACCCTTATGAATGGAGAACCCTCTTGGTGGGGAGAACTTCATGTTAATCGAGCATATATGGTGCCACTAATCTACGGATTAGTAGTCCAGTGGGTTTCAAACACGGGATGCCTAAAGTAGTATGTAGGAAATATGGCATCAGATGCGGATTCAGGATTTGAAGTTTAGGAGTTCCGAAGTTGTTATATGTACATATTCAGTGTATTTCTCGACAAATATACAAGATTTAGACCAAAATTACTAGGTTCTGTCGAACCCACAATACTTCCCATGCTAGCTTTGTCTAACATGTCCTTAATGATTATGCAAGCAGAAAGAAATGCACTTAAGATGATGAGAAGCAAATGCACCGTTGATGGTTAGAATTGAATGTATGAAGAATCAATGCCTATTTTCTTTATCAGTTAATTTACTTTATCGTTCATGATCAAAAACTCTTTTCACGATCAAAAACTTTATCGTTCTGTATATCTATGATTGTCTCCGAGTGAACGAAAATATCTTTAATAGAATATGATTTGTCCTTCTTCATCACATCTAATGAAGTGACCTTTGCTGGTTCAGATGGGATCATCAGAACAAAGAGCAGTACTTCAACTTGAGGATGAGAACCTTGTCAGATTAGAGCATTTTGATAGAAAGGCATCTTCTTTGGGCACCGCTCCTCAAAGATCTTCTTATGATCTCGAGGCAGATGATGACAGTCATAAAAGTATATTGTATAGCATACGAAGGAACATTAAGATTTTTTTTTTCTCCAACAAGTTAAACATACTTGTACCTTGTGGCCCTTTAGCAATACTTGTCGATGAGTTAACTGATCAACATGTGAGTTGTTAAACTATTTTCGGACAAAAAAAAATTCTGCTCTTTATAGAGCTTGCTGACATTGTTTTCTTGTTAAATATTTCAGGGATGGACATTCATACTTAGCTTGTTAGGCATCATTCCCCTTGCAGAGCGTTTAGGTTGGGCCACAGAGTAATTCTCTACAACCAATGTCTACAACACGTTGCATGAGTAAATCATAACAATCAAAGAGGAATTGAACGTATAATCGCAAAGACATGCCAGCATTTCTTGACATGTTCACGCATCATGCATAGTTCTTAACCGTGAAATGGAAGTTCTTTTGAGCTAGATGAGATCACACTTATTTATCTCTGTTATGGAAAGACAATAGCTTCCTGATCTTTTTCTCTGTTTAAAAAATGTTAACATTACACATCGTGTTTGGAGCATAAGCTGAAGATTACTTACTTGGTCTATTTATACTGTTGTACATTTTCCAAAAATGTAACTAATACGTTTTCGGTTTCATTCTTTGTATAGGCAGCTGGCTTTTTTTACTGGACCTACAGGTAGTTTTGTCTTTAACTGTGGCATCCCTCATCTCCATATCATTAATTTTACTCGAGTATACGATATATAGAGGCATTAACTTTTTGTATGTTCTTTTCTTTTGGTCTTTAAATTTTCATTTGGGATGCCAATTTATATGTGCGATAAAATATGCAGACTAGTAAGAAGGAATAGGCACTAGTTCATTTCTCGTCTGCACCCTAATGGTAGAAGACATGAATAAATGTTTATGTCGTCTCACACTATATAGTATTTTCGTCACATATTTTTCAAAGCGAGATAGAGAACTCTATCAACCTGTTTCCCTTTCCCTGTAATTGCACTCTATTTAGCCAATATCATCTTGATTAATCTGCAGTTACAAACTTTTACAGTCGGAGGACTTCTAAATGCCACTTTTGGAAACGCGACAGAGTTGATAATATCAATGTATGCTCTGAAAAGCGGAATGATTCGTGTAGTGCAGCAGTCACTATTGGGCTCAATTCTGTCCAATACTTTACTAGTGCTTGGATGTGCATTTTTTGGCGGTGGAGTTGTTCATTCTAATAAGGAGCAACTTTTCGACAAGGTATATTTTTATCACTCTCCATATATGTGTTTTATGTACACCAATATCAGTAATAACTTTGTTCAAGCTATATGTCGAGGGATAACACTTGGATAATTGGATTTTTATTTTTAAATTTTCTTTGTTAGGGAACTGCAGGGATGAATTCAGGGTTGCTTTTAATGGCAGTTATGTGCTTGTTGTTCCCCGCTGTCCTCCACGTTACACACACTGAAGTGCATTTTGGGAAGTCAGAGTTGGCACTTTCCAGATTTAGCAGCTGCATTATGCTTATAGCATATGGTGCATATCTATTTTTTCAGCTGACCAACCAAAAGAATCTTTACATGCCGATGGCCGAGGTTGTGGTTCTTCATTTTCCAGCACAGCCTTGTATAAATGGTGTTACCCTATACACATAACTGTATGTTTATACAAAGTTCAACTTGGAATATCGAAGTGAAAGTTTAAAATGAAAAACTGGAAAAATAATGATAGTTGCAGCCAAGATTTCTGAAGGTTGGAATATGCATTAGCCTTATTCTTCCTAAGGTCGCATCTTGTCTCATAGTCGAAATGCTCCAACTTGTGGACTATAGTGTATCTAGTCTTCTGTTTTTAAGCTTCCAAAAGTTTGTAAGATATTTGATTTTTATTCTTGTTCATTCCACCTTGAAAACTTGCTAAGGCAAAACAATGTTGTCTTGAGAACATCTAATGGGATTAGAGAAAACAAAGAATCCCATCTCTGTTACTTTCCTCCTTTATTATCTCTTAAAGGCTACAATGAGCTGTACGTTTACGTCCAATCTTCCTTCATGAATTTGTTCACCTCTGAGTTTAGTACAATTTCAGGAAGAGGATCATATTGATGGAAGTGCAGATGATGAAGAAACTCCGGAGATATCGAAATGGTGGTCAATCCTATGGCTTTCTGTTATGACACTATGGATAGCAGTCCTATCAGAGTACCTAGTTAATACCATAGAAGTAAGTGCATCCTACTAACCTTTTCTCTTTTTTCGGTTTTGCAACTCAGTGTTCTTTCTGCAGAACCATCTAGCTTTTCGAAATATCGAGAATCTTCTTTTTCTCCTTGTTCTTTCAAAATTTACTGTTATGAGATTTATATGATTGAACTTATCCAGGTTTTACTTTTTCTTGACTCAACAAAAAAGGTCCTTTTACATAGAATATGTCAAAAAGGAAAAAACGAAAACTATGTACAACTATGTTGCTCGGACTCTCCAAAAATGTTGCCTCACCTGTGTCGGATTCTCCAAATATGCACTACTTTTGGAGGATCCAACACCCACCCGTCGGCATTTTTGAAGAGTCCAGAAACATAGGTGTACAGAGATTCTACTCTACTTTTAGTCCTCTCTGTGTTAAACAACAGGAAAGTATTTGAACACACTAAGAAATGTGTCTAAGTATTTTTTTATTTGTGTTCTTTGAGCCCCTCTAACAATAAACATATATGACAATGTTTTCAGGGGGCATCTGTTGAGATGAATATTCCTGTAGCATTTATAAGTGTGATAGTGCTTCCCATTGTTGGAAACGCTGCGGAGCATGCTGGAGCTGTCATGTTTGCCTGCAAAGACAAGCTTGTACATTCTTCACCTTTCTTCCTTACAAAAGCTAACGATTTACAATCACCATCCCTCATTTATGTAGTGTCTGTGCAGGATATATCTTTGGGAGTGGCAATAGGTTCATCAACACAGATTGCCATGTTTGGGGTAGGTAATTAACATATCAGAGTTTCTGTATCATGAATTACGCCAATAAGGAACTTTAGTCATTACTTTTGTTCTATTTAATCAAGATATGAACGTATCACCCTAGCTGCTTCGTAGTTACATAAGACACTTCACTTGTTCATTTCTTATTTCAAGAAGGCACAATACATAAACCGGCACTCAAACTTGGCCTCCATTGACAAGTAAAGCAATGTAATTTTCAGAATGCACATCTAGACACCTCAACTTGTCTCCACTGTGTCAGTTGAACACTCCAACTTACAAAAATGATTATCTAGACACCTCCAAAATTTATGTGCCATGTCAGCGTAGGGTGTCCATGAAACACAGCGGGGTCTAGTTGAGGTGTTCAGTTTTCATTTGATACCAAGTTGAGGTGTCTCGATGTGCGCTCTCAAAGTTGGAGTATTGCAGCTGAGGCCAAGTCAGTTTATGTATTATGCCTTTCAAGATATACAAAAAGTATCTTGTCGTTTCCATGTTTATCTCCTTCAATAGCCTGTCAAGTGCAAGTAAATGAAGAAAAGAATATATTACCTGTGTTCTAATTTTGACTGCTATCTTTTTTCTGCTTGGTAGCTTACACCCGTTTTCGACTGTTCTCTTGCTACAGATCCCATTCTGTGTTGTAGTAGGATGGATAATAGGCTCACCGATGAATTTGGACTTCCAAATGTTTGAAACAGCTACACTGTTTATGACTGTCCTTGTAGTAGCTTTCATGCTGCAGGTATCCCATAATTTAAACTCTTAAAATAATGGTAAATAAGAGTTCTTTCCAGATTTGAAGATTTGCTCTCCTTTTCACCTCTTCATCCTTTTCATTTCCTTCTGTTCTGCTTCATTATGGGTGTACATGAATGCAATGGTCGGAATGTACATTTTTTATGCTGCATCCTTGCAATTAAATGATTTTTTTTTTCTACAGGACGGGACGTCTAATTACTTTAAAGGGCTGATGCTCCTTTTCTGCTATCTGATAGTTGCAGCAAGCTTCTTTGTACATATAGATCCGGAGTCTATACGTGAGTTTCCTCCCTCTCTTCGTGCAATTCTTATATGGTAGCTTGTGATATTTGTTGTATTTATACTTACCAGCATTGGTAATTGCTGTTACTACTTACTAGCATTAAATAATCTAATATACTTTGCTTTATTGTTATCAGATTAATTGAGCATCTCTTCTGTTGTTCGATTAAATAAATACTTGACCATGTGAAATCTTGTTAGGACATATTTTCGGTGATGTGTGCTTTCCGTTTTTGACTTACGATGAGAAAAACCTTAAAGGTATCCATGTACACTATAGACCTTTTCCACGACCTTTATATTACTAATATGAGACACTGTATATCTCTAACACCCTCCCCTTGCGTATAACTTGATTCCAAGATTTAGACTGAAGATAGAACGGATCCAACAGGCTGAGAAGTAGGCTTGAAGATGTTAATGACTCAATGACTGATTCGGGATACGAAAGTTCAATTCTCTGCCTGGTAGATTATTGATAGGACAGTCGGAGAGTAAGTATGCAGTTAATTCAGTTACTAGAAAATCCAAGTTCAAAAATCTAGCATTTGGCTTAGGAGAGCTTAGAGATTCTAAACTATATATGTAACGCAATCTGTGCTTGTTTCTATGCTGCTCGAACTCTCCAACTATGTTGCTGCACAAGGGTTAGTTCCTTCAAAAATGCACTACTTTTGGAGGATCGACATGCAACTGTTGGCATCATTGAAGAGTCCGAGCAACATAGTTGGTTCTACCTCAAGTTGAACACTAACCAGGGATCATAGTAGAATTGGAAAGACAATACGTGTAATTGAGAGTTGATGCTTAAAGGAACTAATTTGATTCCCTCATAATGGAACCACTCAAGGATTCTATGAATCTTTTTTTTTTTTATGACAAGGGAAACCCGCAACTGCTACCATTTGGATGCACACAGGGTAAAACCCCCGCTCCTATGCAATAGCTCGCAAACCACATAGGAAAGGTAACCCATACACTAGGCAAGCCCGGCGCAACGAGCTCGACCCAGAAGGCAAACCCCTTGCTTTCGCTGGCAAGGGGTTTCGAACTTGAGACCTCCAACATGGAAGTCCCAAGCCCAAACCACTGGGCCACCCCGAAGGGTAAGCGTGTGATCATCTCATCTAAAGCTTAAGTTGTTAGAGAGAACACATATTTAATTACTTAGTTATGTTTCCACGCATTTGAAATTCCAAACATTGATTGAAGACAAATTGACTAAGAGTACTGAATGCAAACATTAAGATATGCGGTTCTTTAGGCAATTTATAGGCATGAAATTTAGCTTGATAATATTTTTTTATTTTTTTTTTATGACAAGGGAAACCCGCAACTGCTACCATTTGGATGCACACAGGGTAAAACCCCCGCTCCTATGCAATAGCTCGCAAACCACATAGGAAAGGTAACCCATACACTAGGCAAGCCCGGCGCAACGAGCTCGACCCAGAAGGCAAACCCCTTGCTTTCGCTGGCAAGGGGTTTCGAACTTGAGACCTCCAACATGGAAGTCCCAAGCCCAAACCACTGGGCCACCCCAAAGGGTAAGATTCTATGAATCTTATATCTGATGCTTCTATAGTTTCTCCTATTTTTTCTTTTTGTGAATTCCTGTACATAGACCTGAATTCTATGTTGCTCAGATTCTCCAAAAATGTTGCCGCACCCATGTTGAATCCTCCAAATATACACTATTTTTTTATGATCCGACATGCACTCATCAGCATTTTGAAGAGTCAGGGCAACATAGCCAGAATTAAGTTTACATAATACTCATCGGACTACCTTGACAAAAGCAGTTGTTGAAACTTGAAAGACATAAGGAATGCAAAATCTGAAGGGATTTTCATTCATTAGAACTTGCACAGTTACAAACTTATAATCCAGTTAGAAATTATTCCTTCCTTGAGAAATTGATCTAAAGAAACAAGAAAATAGAAAATAAACGGAATGCGAAAGGAAAAAAAAAACATAAGGTTATGAGTTCAAGTAAATCTTCAATAAAAACTTAATGTCGCCTCGTCCCTCAATATAATTCATTTTCTCTCAGGTCATCTCCTGAAAAGCAGAGAAATGAACAGAATATTAGTAGATGAAAAATGGTGTTGGAAAGTAAAACGTCGACTATGCAGTACCAGAATCACATGGAAGATGGCTCACCAAAATCCCTAGGCATCTTGCATTTATAACATTCTGCTCTACTGGCATAGTTGTGCGTACCACATCCTAATCTGGCAGATACAAGAAGGAACTTATGTTAGCCAGTAGTAATTATAGAGGACTTTTAATGCTTCTTTTTTTCGATCTCTTTATACAATGTTGGAATGGGATGAGCTCAGGAGCCACAGACGGAGTTATGATTTTGAGTTTATGAGTTCTGAATTCTAGAAAAAGATAGATTTTTGGGTTCTAGATAAATTATTTATACATATTAAGTGAATCTTTAGACACAAATACATGGTTTGGACCAAAGCTATTAGTTTTTGCCATATCCGTAGACAGGCTTGTAGCTCCGCCCCCTGAATGGAGTGACATGAACAATGAGGATTCATGTTGCCGACCAAAATTGTTTTACTCATAGATTGTTGTTATAGAGTTGATGTGAACTAACCTGCTGCAAATCCAATCACCACTCTTCCAACCAGGACAAGCACTTGCATCATATCCATAACCTGTTGATGCTATCATTCCCGCCCCGTTACCATAATAATCACTTTTTAAGGCACCACATCTATAACAGCTTGTTCTGCTTGCGTAGTTGTGAGAACCGCAGTTTATGGCACTGCAATACCAGTCTCCAGCTAGGACTTCTGTTTTGTTTAGTCCATACATGTAAACATCGGTCGTTGTTGCATATTTGGAACAGCTACATCGTTGGCATGCATCCCGTTTCTTGAAATTTAGGTGTTGGCATGCAGCACACATCCAATCTCCTTCCATGCTCATTTTCTGTCCGTAAATCTGGAAATGAACATGAAAAGATTATGAGAGAAAATTTTAATATGGGAACCCAAATAGTCCATTGTAAGAGGCATGTAATAGGCCATTGTAAAAGGCATGCAATAGGCCATTGTAAGAGGCATGTGCAGCAACCATTAAATCCTATCGGACACACATCTTTGAGGCTTTGTCCTTACATGGTTATAGCTAGAATTGCATTTTTCTTACACATGAACAGTCATTTCATTCTAGAAAGAAATTTCTTTGCACAAAAATCTTGTATTGAAGGTGTAAGTTTTTGAAAAACTTGCATTAAAGACAGTAACTTTTTTGTGTAAAAGCTGGAACGCGAAGAAATTTAGTTCCAATATTAGATAATGAAATGCTACACAACGTGAAAACATGATGAATTCCTCACCTAAAAAGAGTGAAGGACTTGAAGAACTGAGCTTCTCGACTAGACGTAAACTATGTTGGAGCTGGTAATTTTGGTGTATGGTCCGGGGAGGTTTATATAGTTGGAAAAACTCATTATTGGGTCCCAAAAAAGTTCTTTTTGATCTGTTTTGAGCTTTAGACAGTTTACTTAAATGGGATCCTCAAGATAGCACAAATGTTCCAAAAAAGATTTGGATGAACCTTCTACCTTCCTAAGAGGCACATACAACCTCGGCGTATCAGGTTCATCTGAATACAGTACTTTCGATGCATAGTTTAAATCTATGGTTAAAACTACATCAAATAATATATTTGAACCCATAATATTAGAAACACAATGAGTTCAATGCTAAGAACTTCAAAAGACTGAACTCATAGAGTTTAAATCCTGGATTCGCCTATGACTTTCATTACTTCTCAAGTCTAGAGTTACGGCTTCCTAAATTTGTCAACTGTTAACTTCATGCATTTGAACACATGCATATTATGCAAACATCTCTCTATTCCTAAATATTCTTCAATAATTTTAACTTTCTTTCTGGATTGGAAAAAAGTAGAGAAAATTTAGGGAATAGAATCCAAAGACAGACTAAAACAGTGATTTTTTAAACAGAAAAAAAAAGGCTTTTTATCAACAGAGATATTTAACAGAAAGGGCCACTAATTTGAAAGATAAAAGACATGATTAATTAAGAATTAGTTCTGGTTGTCTGGACCCTAGGAGATATGCTATGGAATTGAAACTACATAATTATTTTTCCATGGAATCTGACCTTTCCAAACTACTGAAAAATCTAATAGTAGAATACATTGAACGCGCATTCATGATATAAACTTGATAAGTTCAATCTTTAAGGTCCCTATTGCTGAGTCGATTGCATTTTTGGAATTGTTGCTTTGACATGTTAGTGATTTTTCATATGTATATTTATGGTTCGTCTTGAAAATGATGTGTTAAGTTGAACCTATTAAATGTTTGGTGATCCGTTCGCCTCTGGTTGGGGTTACCAAATGGGGCTTTTCTCTTGAGCAAATCCGGTATAGGTTTAGAACGAGTATAGTTTAGTATAGCTATATAGACCCGCCTTGCCTTCTCCTTATGGGGGAGTTTTTGGGACTTAAATGAGGGATTGGACATCATTTTTGCCATGATCAAGTCCAGAACCTCCAAAATGTGTATGTATTATAAGAACCAGGTGAAAATGTGAAGCTTTAAAATGCATATTTAAATTATCTTCATAATACTACACTAGAAGCAAGCATTTCAATCTGTTTAATAAGATACTAGATGGTGATTGAGTATGATATTGTAAAGATATGACACCTGAGCCTAACTCAACCCCGAAAGCTAGCTCATGAGGGGAGACCACCAATCCATTCGCCAACCAATGTGAGACTTTTACCCACTCTAACACCCCCTTCACGCCCAGGACCGAGAGTCCAAACGGGGATGGACCTGGCTCTGATACCATGTAAAAATATGACACAAGGCAACGAGATGGCTTTCACCGGACCTTAAAAAGGTGGATCTATTCGATCATGTTGGTAGTTGCAAAGACTTCATGTTGTTGAATAATTGTTTGAGTTTTATCGAGTACCTCATTTGATTCGGTTTTCATTATAATACAATGTGTTGTATCTGACTTTGCAGAGGACAAGCCACAAAAACATATAGGATAAATGAGTAATTTTGTGCTAAAGCTGAAGGCCTAACAAAGAATTTCTTGAGAAGAAGAGTTCCCTTTGACAATACTGAACAATGATTTTGATAAAGATTCATCTATCTTGTTATTGCTCAAGGTTTAGTTTTCTCCTAAGTTGCGCAAACTCTTCATTTTGATCCCACACCAGTGTCAGATTCTCCAAAAATACACTACTTTTGGAGAATCCGACACATACCTGCTGACATTTTTGAAGAGACCGAGCAACATAGGTTTTCTCTATCCATTTAATCGAGCAGCTAGCTTCTTGCTTTCGCAGTTTTGATATGCCTACGCGTGTTATTAGGCTCTATAGTATCATGGATGATGAATTGTTTTTTTTTTTTTTGCCTTTGAAATGGCTGAATGTAAGTAGTATCAAATTAGATTGTAAGCAGAATGTAAGGTTCATTTTTTTAACATTATTAAAGCAGGATGCATTATTTTTGTCATCCCAAAGTGATTTATGATCTCTGCAACAAAATATTTGCATGGTGAATGAAATCATTTGTTGATTGGAAATATTATGTATAAATCATATAGACAAGATATTGAAAAAATGCTATAGAATATGTCACATGGAGAAAATTTTAATCCCGCGTTTGAAGAATATGATGTAAATAGGCTATTTTAATGCAAGTATTAGTGTATGCTTTCACGAATATATCACATGGAGACAATTTTCCTATTGGAAAAGAGGAAAGATAATTGCTATGTGAACATGGACTAATAGTAACTTCTTTTTTCTTTTTCTTTTTTATGAAAGTTCTGTATTTACACTCAATGGCTTTAAAAGGTAATGTCAAAAGAATAGAGCAGTTTGATGTGTTTTATCGGGATAACACATAAACGTGTCTTTTAACTTGCTTTTTTCATTGACATTTATGTCCTTCAATTTTTGGTGTAGGCATTTAAATTTGTATAGAATTGAGCAAGTAGACACGCTTATCCTATTGGAGTTCTATGTGGCATCCTCCGTGTACTATGCCACGTAGAACATGTGTCTCTTTGTTTCATTGTTTACAAGTTTAAGTGCTTATTATACGCATTCAAAGTTAGAGAACATGAATGTCAGTTGAGGCCTAAGTAAAAAGTATATGTATGTAATATGCCTACTTTATATTTTAGCATAGAAGTAACTGATGGCAAGCTGTATGAACATTTTGATCAAAGTCCATTTAATTTTAATTTTGATTTTGACTCTTAAGAGAGCATTAACAAAATAGATGCCAAAAATGGATGATAGAGACTGATGATTTTTATTTTTATTTGTGATCTAAAATAGATATTTCTATAATGGATAGTGGAGATACAGTTTCTATCGCGGGAAAAAATTACTCGCACCTAATATTTGAATTAACTTTATAAGTATATCACACATCCTATTACCTAATTATGATAAATCAATATAAACTTTAACCTCAATATATCACTTAATCATAATTCTATTATGGTTCAGTATAAATATAAAAATGTAAGTTTTTTTCCATGACAACATAGCTCCTTGAATTATTTTTCAAGCTCTTATTTTTATAGCTTTAACCATGTTTATTATAGGTGACTAATCAAAATCATTGTCATATCCTACTCAGTGGAATATGAAGATACTTACCATAGAACAAGTCAATCTAGTCTTTCATAATAAATCGAACATATCGACGATTGCTAGCTACTATGATTCATAATCCTGAGTTCCTGACCCTCCTTTGTGTAAGGAGACACCTATTCCTCCATTATTAGGAAACTTTCTAGTTTACCAAATCATAACTTATATAGTTGGACATACACTTACCTTCTAAACGACCTGATTGTATAATAAGAAATTACACAAAGTAAAACGAAATAAACAGAAAAAATGACATTTCTATAGTGATGACACAATTTTTTGCACTCAAAATTACAACTCCATGGAGAGCTATCCATTTGAATTAGTCTAGAACTACATATCAAACTGTTAAGACGAAAGCTATTGAATGACAAGAACAACAAGCACTACTTAAAAAAGTTTAAAGAGATTTGGAGGAACAGGATGCTGCAGTAAGTTTCTTAGCACTAGGTCAAGATTGAAAGTACAGCACTATGAAGACACGTCTTGCATATATATAAATAAATACAGTAATTATTGACCTTATTTGGTATAATATTTGCTCATGATTTACCCTGTTGAATTTGATGAAGAAGAGCTGCTGCCAACTGCAATGTTGCCTGCAAGCGTTTCTGTGGGTCTGTTTCTTCATCAGCTGCATTCTGCAGTTGGTTCACGTTAGTGCCATGCTGAAGCTCTCTTGGAGGTGGGCCTGGCAAACTCACCATTGGTTGCTGTTGTTGCTGCATTTGACCAAACTGAGATGATGAATGATCAACAGACTGATTGTTTGAGAATGGAAGATTCTGCTGTGGCCTGTATGAGTTGTCAGGCAGGTAACCGGTGCCTGGTTGTCTAGAGTCTTGTCCTGTTGATGCAACCCCTGATTGCCTCTGCTGCTCAAGAAGTGATGAGGTTAACAATGCAAGTTGTTCTGATTGAAAAGGTGTAGCTGGTGTCTTTGCCTCCGGGGGAGGTCTATTATTGCCATTTGAATGGAAATTTGAAACTTCACCCCTATAGATGCTAGAACTTTCCTGCCCTGTACCAGGCATGGCCGGGTTATATCCCTGACCAATGGTAGGATCATTTCTGCCACTGGATGATTGTGAGATGATATTCTTGACACTAGGATTTGGGTTTTGCATATCGTGGGAAGACCAGCTCTGTCCCATGGCAGGGTACTGCTGATTGACCATGTAATTATGCCTGTCTCCACTAAATGACTCAGAAAAGTTACCAGCTGGCTGAAGAGAGCCTGAAAATGAAGCAGCTGGAGGTCCTGTATCTATCCCAGGAAACGACATATTGCTGATTCCTGGTCTCTGAGTGGCTGTGTAAGATGTCAGTGCAGGATTAGGCCCAGAAGGCGATATCGGCTGGGCAAACGATGTCATGCCTGGGAAACCGGTAATACCAGTTTCATTCTTCTCAGGATGAGACCCATAACCAGGAGCAGGAGGATCCAATCTTAACACAACACCAGCGATGCTCAGTTTTCCTGGTACTTTAAGGACTTTATCAGAGAAGTCAGAAGGAGGTACAAGAAACATAGTGGTCCTATCATCCAATTTAGCCACAGCAGCTCGCTGCTTCTCACCAAGATAATTCCTGAATTCGTTGTAAAATGCCATGTCAGCATCAGTAGCTGGAACAAAGAAGACAACCCAAGAACCAGCTGCTTGATAGTAATGCTTTGCAAGCATGTCTAAACTAGTCCTTGCAGTGCAGTCCAAGTATACAGGTCTGCAAAATTGAACCATTGCAAATTTAAAGAAGGAAAGAATTTGAGTTCTATTCGCAACATGTGGGATGAAAAGTTCTCAACCTAAGACAATAGCTCAGTTTTTACTTAAAGAGTATAAAACTTAGATCCCAAAAACCCTGTGAACAAATATATGAGAAGACAAGACATTCATAATGCCTAAGATGAAGAGAGTTAAAACAAGTCTTGCAACATAAGTACCGTTCTAGATCATTCCCATGCACTTGAAATCATGGACAAAAAATTTCCCACTCCACACAACAGAAATGATGATTGTCCTCAAACGGGAAAGAAGGAGCAAAATTCAATCTCTGGATCTCCTTAAATTGAGTAGAGCTAACTATCAAATGTCAGTTAAACACTATTCATTTTCCATCTCAGGATCCTAATATAAGAAATGTACTAATCAAGAAAATTTACTTCTACGTAACAGGGATGTAAACACTAATTTCTCCAACGAATACACTTTATCAGAGTTCTACTACAATTCACTTTCAATCAGATAGAGGCATAATGATTATATTTAACTTGAGCAAAGCCTAAATATTTGTTATTAAAGCATCAATCAGCTAAACTTTCACTGGTTAACAATATAAGTCTTGTATAAAGCTGCTCTAAAGTGCTAGAGACCTGAATGTTGAGTTTACTAATCCAAATGTATAACAACATACCTAGTGTAATCCAAATGTTTTAAAGTTAATTCAAAAGCACGTACAGAAAACTACAACTATTATACAACATGAGCTCCATGGACTAGTATGATTTCATCAGTTATAGCAGAGTATATTGCATTGAGATATTTCTGTGTTAGGAAGGGCTTCAACTCAAATGTCTAAAGGAAGGATTCCTGCAGTTCAAAAAAGCTTTCATTTCTAACTGAAGTAGCCTACCAGTTTTTAATTTCAACTTCTTGTGCACATTAGATCAGAAATTAACGTCTATGGAATTATTAACTTCCCATAAAACATGTAATTACTTACAAGATCATCTCTAAATGTTTGCCCACAGGAAAGCATCGAGCCCGACAGACAGCAGTTCCTCCCTTAGCAATAGTACCTTCCCATTTCCACTCAGTACTCTTGGATGAGGGATGTGGTTCAGGAGTCAACCTTTTCTGCTCAGCGTTTGAAGCCAATTGACCAGAGCCCACCTTAAAACCGTCAAATCGTGAATTCCACCGGTCGTTCTCCTCCGGATAAGGTGCACTGGAGTTCATCATCCGCTCAGGTATCTGTCTATGAACAAGAGATCCAGAATCAAAGTTTTTATCAAGGACCTCAGCTTGGGAAAATTCACGGTACCCCCTCTGTCTTGCTGGTTCCATATCATTGAAAGGATATTCTGGAAGCTCATTTTCAGGAAAATAGGAGCTGGTCTTCAGTTTCTTAGCTTCACGGAAGACAAAAGGATCCTCAGGCAAGTCCCATGAATCATCGTAGAACGGATCTTGTCTAGGGAACCGCTGAGGAGAAAACTCACGCTCACGGATGTCTACAACTCTTTTCCTTGGAGGACTACGCTGATTGTAAGCACTGTCCCCATGTCCCAGTTCAGAATCCAGAACAGGAAATCTCCTTCTATCATCTTCACCTACCCATGCATTACCCTTTCTGCCAAAACCAACATGACG